CCAGCACACTCCCAGATAGTTTTCCCCCCCCCAAATTCTAGACACTCACTGTGTAAAAATGTTACTTTTTTGGTCATCCCTGTTTCTTTTGACAAGATGATGGAGGTGATGCTCAAACTGGGACTTCGGAAATACTTTGTTTAAAAAACAAAAATCCTCTTCAATGCTCAAAGTGCGTTGGTAATGAAAAAAGGAGGTTGAGAGACAGAAAATAATATGACCAAAATTCTAATGGGCTCATTTTCATTTTGTTCCCTCCTTTTATAATGTGTTCTCTTCAAAACTGCTCCTGTCAAATTTTTTTTTATAGAATCCCGACAGTGTGGAAACAGCCATTCGGCCCATCGAGGCCACACCAACTCTGAAGAGCATCCCACCCAGATTCACTCCCCCACCCTAACCCTGTAACCCTGCACTTCCCATGGCTAGCCCACCTAGCCTGCACATCCCTGAACACTATGGGCAATTTAGCACGGCCAATCCACCTAACCTTCACATCTTTGAACTGTGGGAGGAAACTGGAGCACCCGGAGGAAACCCATGCAGACACGGGGAGAACATGCAAATCCACATAGACAGTCGACTGAGGGTGGAATTGAACACATATTGCTGGCGCCGTGAGGCAGCAGTGTTAACCACTGAGCCACTGTGCCGTGGTAAATCATAGAATCCCTACAGTGTGGAAACAGGCCATTTGGCCCATTGAGTCCACATCGACCCTTCAAAGAGCATCGCACCCAGACCTACCCCAATCTTGTATTTCCCATGCCTAACCCAACTAGCCTGCACATCGCTGGGCACTGTGGCAATTTCCCATGGCCAATCCACCCTAACCTACACATCCTTGGACTGTGGGAGGTAACTGGAGCACCCGGAGGAAACCCACGCCGACACGGGGAGAATGTGCAAACTCCACACAGACAGTTGCCTGAGAGTGGAATTAAACCTGGGTCCCTGGCACTGTGAGGCAGCAGTGCTAACCACTGCGCTAACATGCTGCTCTCAAATACTAAATGCTTGCAAATACAAACACTAAAATACCAATACTTGCTTTACAATGACATAGCAAAGGTCACTAGACTGGTTCCCACGATACAGGGATTGTCACTTGAGGAGCAATTGAGTGGATGAGGCCTATATTTTCTACAGTTTACAAGAATGAGGGGTAATTACATTGAAACATATAAAATTCTTAATGAACTTGGCAGGGTAAATACTGGGATAACTGTTCCCCTGGCAAAGTTCCTTTCTTCAAACGGTCATGGAACTTTGGAATTCTCTACCCAACAGAGTTGGATCAATCATGGGCAAGTCCAAACCAGAGTTTGGGTATAAAAAGGAACTTAAAAATCGGATAGTACAGGAAGGTGCAGCTGAGGTAAGAAATCAGCCATGATCTTAGAGTCATAGAGCTGTACAGCATGGAAGCAGACCCTTCAGTCCAACTTGTCCATGCCGACCAGATATCCTAAATAAATTTTGTCCCATTTGACAGCATTTAGCCCATATCCCTCTAAACCCTTCCCATCCAGATGCCTTTTAAATGTTGTAATTGTACCAGCTTCCACCACTTCCTCTGGCGGCTCATTCCATACACGTACCACTCTCTGCGTGAAAAAGTTGCACCTCAGGTCCCTTTTAAATCTTTCCCCTCTCACCTTAAACCTATGGCTTCTAGTTTTGGACTCCCCACCCTAAGAGAAAGACCTTAGTTATTCACCCTATCCATGCGCCTCATGATTTTATAAACTTCTATAAGGTCACCCCTCAGCCTCTAATACTCCAGGGAAAATAGCCCCAACCTATTCAGCCTCTCCCTATAGCTCAAACCCTGCAACCCTGGCAACATCCTTGTAAATCTTTTCTCAACCCTTTCAAGTTTCACAACATCATTCCTATACCAGGGAGACCAGACCTGCACGCAGTATTCCAAAATTGGACTAACCAATGTTCTATACAGCTGCAACATGATCTCCCAACTCCTATACTCAATGCACTCACTTATAAAGGCAAGTGTACCAAACACCTTCTTCACTATCCTATTTACCAGTAACTCCACTTTCAAAGAACTATGAACCTGCACTCCAAGGTCGCTTTGTTCAGCAACACTCCCCAGGACCTTACCATTGAGTGTATAAGTCCTGCTCTGCTTTTCCTTTCTGAAATGCAGCACCTCACATTTATTTAAATTAAACTCCATCTGCCACGCTTCGGCCCATTGGCCCATCTGATCAAGGTCCCATTGTACTCTAAGGTAACCTTCCTTGTTGTCCACTAAACCTCCAATTTTAGTGTCATCTGCAAACTTACTAACCATACCTCCTATGCTCACATCCAAATCATTTCTATAAATGATGAAGAGCAGTGCACCCAGCACTGATCCTTGTGACACACCTCTGTTCACAGGCCTCCAGTCTGAAAAAGCAACCCTCCACCACCACCCTCTGTCTTCTATCTTTTTGAGCCAGTTCTGTATCCAAATGGCTAGTTCTTCCTGTATTCCATGGGATCTAACCTTGCTAACCAGTCTACCATGAGGAACCTTGTCAAACGCCTCACTGAAATCCAGAGAGATCATGTCCAACGCTCTGCCCTCATCACTCCTCTTTGTTACTTCTTCAAAAACCTCAATCAAGTTAGTGAGACATGACTTCCCACGCACAAAGCCATGTTGACTATCCCTTCTGATTCTAAATCTGCAACAGCATTTTCAACAGCGTTATATTTAATGAACGAACATGCATTTATACAAGAAAAGAAACACGATGTGCTGGAACAAACAGCTTTGCCTGGACTGCTTAGGGATTCCAGTGCTTTAATTCAGATATCTGGTATCCACAATGTTTTGCTTTTGCAATTATATAATGTATTTCACATCCTTTAGACATTCCAAAGTAAATTGAGTGCAGTTATTGTTGGCTTGTAGAGAAATATAGCAGCGTATTTAGGCACCTCATGGTTACAAAACAGAAAATGAGACCAATTAAGCTGTAACAATAATGCAGTGATTGAGGGATGAATATTAGCCAGGGTGCGGTAACATCATCATCTTTCAATAATGCCTAGACAGCTTTGAAGTTTGCCTTATCAGAGAGACAAAGCCTCTAACCCCACATTCAAAAAGACCGCTGTTCTAAAAACATAGCCCATCTGTAGTACTATACTGAAATGTCAACCTACATGGTGCGTGCACACTGGTGTGCTGGTGCATGCGTTCACGCGTTGGTTGGTGTGTCTGTGTGCTTGTATGTGCGCACGTGTGTGCATATGCTGGTGTGCACGTGCTAGTGTGCGTGCTTATGCATGCAGGTGCATGTGTGCACATGTGCACGCATGCATGTGTGCTGGTGTGTGCGTGTGCGTGCGCGTGCCAGTGCATGCGCTTGTGTGCATTTACATGCTGGTGTATCAGTGTGCGTGCGTGCGCAAGTGCATGTGTTTACGTGCTGGTATGTGCATGTGCACGCACACGTATGCCTGCTGGTGTGTGTGTGCGCGCGAGTGCATGTGCTTGTGTGTGTGTGTGTGTGTGTTTTTACGTGCTGGTGAGTGCGCGTGTCCATCCTGCTGCATGTGGGGTATGGGGCACACACACAAAATGTGCACCTTAAAAGCAAGTGCAGCATCAAGCCAAAGCGTGTCTGCACAAGAACACTAACAACAGGAGTAGGCCATTCACTGTGGTCATGGCTGACTTTTGGCTTCAGCCCATTGTTCACTCAATTCCTTCAGAAACCACACATCTGTCTATCCCAGCCTTAAGGACATTCAAAAACAGAGACTCTACAATTCTCCAGGATAGATAACTCCAAACATTTCACAATCCTATGAATGAACAAATTTCTCCTGAACTCAGTCCTAAAAGATCAGCCCTTAGCCCAAGACAGTGTTCTCACATAGTTTAGCTTTTCTGTGCAGCAGAAATGATCTCTGAGCATCTTCCTTCAGAATCTTGTCCGCTGTATTGAGATCATCTCTCGTTCTTCAAAACTCCAGATAAGATTGACCTATTTGTTTTAGCCTCCGAATTCTTCATTCCACTGAATGTTGAGACAGAGGGTGCATGGAATTTCTGCATTATGTTACGGGGTGAGAATTGCTTTGATATTACTGCTGTTTCAGTTATAAAAACTAAGGGGGGGGGATACATTACTATCACACCACGATAATGGAGTCTATGTTTGGTAATGTAAACATATTCAGCTGGCTCAGGGAAAACATTCTTCCCAGTGTAAATGAATGCTGCTGCATAGGCCAGGACTTTGTTGTCAAAATCTTGAACTCCCCGACTCTGATTTATGACATGCTGAGGAGATGAAGCATTTACTTAACCATGATGTAAATCTGCAAACATTATCACCGTAAAAAAATCCCTCTACTGTCACTCCAAAGGAACCAGGGATTGTACCCAGCCCCTTGCTCTTCAATGCATTTCCACTTTCGTCTTCATTCTTCAGCCAATAAAATCTATCAATCTCAGATTTGTAATCGATCTAGTGGCAACTGTGTACCAGCCTTTGAGTACAGAAGTGTTTCTGAATTTCACTCCTAAAAGGTCTACCTCCAATTTTCAGACTAAACCCTCAGCCAGCAGGAATAGTTTCTCCCAATTTACCCTGTTTCTTATATCCTGAAAACTTCAATCAAATCACCCATTAACCTCAGGACTGTAATTTAACTCGTTACTTAACCTCTGCAGACTACTCCCAGCAAAGTCACCAATAGTCCCAGAGGACCATGGGGCTGCTCTCCCATTAGAGAGAGACAGATAACTGCTGGTGGTTTAACCTGAGGGTCACCATACCTCAGGGTGAGGGGAGAGGTGGAGGAGGGGGGTCCTGGATGGTAACCTCAGCCAGTGTGGGAATCGGACCCATACTGTTGGCGTCACATTGCAAACCAGTTGTCCAGCCAACTGAGCCAGTAGTGTAACTGTCTTTTCTCTCACATAGACATACAACAACTCAAAAGCTTTTTTTTTGCATTACAAATAAACCTACCAGAAGGAGGTGAATCCTTGGAGATAGCTGTTTGGGATGGTGGCCGACTCCCACTGAACAAATAGCCTGAATCTGTTAAAGATACGAACATAAAGTTTAGATCCCAACCATTGGAGTTAACTCGAAACACTCAATGATTCTGACTGCTTAAAATGTTTAGACATTGAATTATTGCGAAATTTGTTATCTCAATAGCAGAGGCGAAATAAAATTAATTACTTCAAAATTCAGTTGGCCCACAATAATCTGCATCAATTCTAGACACGATCATCTCAAATGGTTCACAGAGGAACCGGTACATTAGCAGGCAGATAGAGCTTTGTCAAGTTAGCACGCTGGTACGTGAATGGTTGAGGAGAGTGGTAAAGATGGCAATTCATCCAACAAGTGAGGAGGTGTCAAATAACTGGAGTATTCTCGTACTACTCACTGCATAAGTACTGTCCATGGGAAATAAAACCATGCCAGGAGCATTCTATTTATCTCACATTACAATATGCCAACAGTAATTTTATTACTTCAGGGATTATAGTGTGGACTTTTGTTCACAGAATTTGAGAATGATACATCACAGGAAGTGGCCATTCGGTCCATTACGAACGTGCTAGCTCTTTGATACAACCATCCAGTTAGTCTGACTCCTTTGTTCTTTCCCGCTAAAGATGTTTCCCTTCAAAGATTCATCTCATTCTCTTTTGCATGTGACTATTAAGTCTCCTTTTAGACAATATATTCCAAATCATAACAGCTTGCTGCATAAACAAAAAGACGTTTCTTTGTGTCACTTTTTTTGCCAACCAACTTAAATCTATGTCCTCTGGGTACCGACCCTTCCTCCAACGGGAACGATTTGTGCATAACTACTCCATCAAAATTATTCTTGACATTGAACACCTCAGTCAAGTTTTCTCTTAATCTTCCCTGCTTTAAGGAAAGCAGCTCCATTTCTCCAATCATCTTGAAAATATTTGAGTACATCTTTTCTGCTCTCTGTAAGGGTTTGACATCCTGCCTAAAGACTGGTGTCCAGAATTGAACACAACACTCTTGCTGTGGCCTATTCAGTGTTTTAAAAATAGCAATAAAGTTCTGCCAAACTTTTATGTATTAGTCATCTATCATTGAAGTCATGGACTGAACATGCTTTAACAGAAAAGAACACATTTTCATTGATATCAGCCAAGCTCCTGAGCATAAGCTAAGATTGTGACCATTGGAGACAACCTGATACTTAATGAACAGGATACATCAGAAGATTTTATTCTCTCAAAAAGATTGCTTGTATCTAGCAAATTTAACATAGAAGGAATATTAAACCAGTGGCTAGCACTGCTACCTCACAGTACCAGGGACCTGGGTTTGATTCCAGCCTCGGGCGACTGTCTGTGTGGTGTGTGCAAGTTCTCCTCGTGTCTGTGTGGGTTTCCTCCAGGTGCTCCAGTTTCCTCCCACAGTACAACGATGTGCAGGTTAGGGTGGATTGGCAACGCTAAATTGCCCATAGCGTCCGGGGTTGGATAGGATAGGTGAATTAGGGACACGGTGGGGGTTTGGGTCTGGATGGGATGCTCTTTGGAGAATTAGTGTGGCCTTGATGGGCCGAAAGGCCTGCTTCCGCACTGGAGGGATTCTACGATTAATTCCCAGCTAGAATCCCTGTTACTACCCTTCTTCATAAAATACACTTAGCACTCTGTTTGTACCCACTCCCCCCCCCCCCCCCCCCCCCCCCAAAAAAGATCCTGTCACTCCTCCCTAAGACAGGACACTCTTCAGGGTGTTGAAAATTGATTAATCTTGGCATTCCTGCATTGAAACATGAGAAAATTAGAGCTAGTAGCCATTCAGCCCCTCGAGCCTGCTGCAGCATTTAACATGATCATGACTGATCTTATCTTGGCCTCAGCTCCACTTTCCTGCCCGCTCTCCATAGCCCTTCAACCCATTATTTATTAACGATCTGTCTATCTCCTCCTTAAATTTACTGAATGCCCCAGCATCCTCCGTGCTCTGAGGGGATGAATTCCACAGATTCTGCCTTTGAGAGAAGTAATTCCTCCTCATCTCTGTTTTAAATCTGCTGCTCCGTATCCTAAAACTGTGACCTCTCCTTCTAGATGGCCCCACATGAGGAAATATCCTCTCTACATCTACTTTGTCAGTCCCTTTTAGCATCTCCTATACCTCAGTTAGATCTCCTCTCATTCTTCTAAACTGCAGGAAGTACAGGCCTAAACTGCCCAACCTCTCTCCATAAGACAAACCTTACACCTCTGGAGTCAATCTCGTGAACCTCCCTTGAACCATCTCAAATGCAACTACATCCCTCCTCAAGTAAGGGGATCAAATTGAATACAATACTCCAGGTGCAGCCTCACTAATGCATTGTACAGCTCCAGCAACACTCCCTACTTTTGCACTCTATTCCCTTAGTGATAAATGTCAAATTAGGGCAGGGAGATTTAAGTTTCATCCCAATTTTAGTTATGGATACTGCAGAACCCAGACGCTGCCTTTGCATGTTATTATAAGGAGCAAATGAGAATCACGACGCAGATGCACAAAGTTTGGTTACGAGTTCACAGAATACGATTAAGAACGGGTAGATGGGCTATCATTTCCAACATTCATAGGCCCATTTTCAAGCCAGAAAGTATAAATTCCACAGTTAGCAAAACGAGAGAGAAACAAAAAAGAAAAAAGTAAATCAATGCAGTTTAAATTTATTTCAAAGTTGTTTAACTCAAAGAGCATCCTCGAAGTATCGAAGATGGCGGCAGAGTAGGGATTCTGAGCTGGAGCTCCTCTGCTCCATCCATTTCTTTTCTTCTTTTTTACTCTTTTCATGTTTTGTTTACCTTACTACTTACCTCCTGTCCTCTGATGACATTGGTGGCAGTGAGTCAAGCCAGCACGGACTGAAAGAACTCCTGGCCCTGAGGTAAAGCCCAGGTGGACCTGTGTTGGAGCCCAGCATGAACTCATCTGCTTCTTTTTCCCTCTCTTTCTCTGCGTTAGGACTGTCAAGCTGAACTTTTAACGTTATTTCTATATTTTTCTAACTCATACCTAAGATTTTGTACCTAAGTACCTTTATACCCAAGATGGTGCCAGAAATGGTGACTTTATACACTTCTCACTGTACTCCTGTATCCCTGTACTAGAGTACGTGTGACAATAAAACCTAATTACTTTCTAATTTTTTTAAAAAATGTCTTTAGCGCACTGAATTCCCACTTTCTGCTTTGGAGTGTTTCAAAATATTGGATGACTCAGTTCATTTCTTAAATCACAAAAACTGGCTGAATCATCAGTGGATTATAGATTTGATCTAAACAACAGAGGCAGGAACAGCTTCGGACTAAGACGGTGTTTGAAAAGTTGGCGATATTAACGGTGAAGTGGAGCTTTGCTGACCTACTGTGCTGTCTATTCCAAAGGCCTTTGATCTTCCTGGCATCTCGTAGCTCACTTCAAAGAGGCATATAGACAGAATGAGGTGATAAAAGGAAGTTTTCTTTCCTCACCACGTTACAGCGTACGGTCAAGTAACTGTAGGATAAACTGCAGAGTTATTTTCAAAAACCACTACATCAAACATTTGATAGAATAGAACATTTTGCATTGTTCAGAGCAACAACACATTTCCCCTGGAATTAAAGCAAAGCATTTTTGACATTCCTTTCACACTGACTTTGCTCATGTTCCTTTCAGGTGTTGGCGGATAAATGAATGCGGCTGGTAATCCACAGGAACATTCACGCTGTCACAAAACAGGGGGAACAATGATCCCCAACACCTGCAGGTCAGAGTTCAAGGAGTGAATCTCTTAAAGCATCTTGGAGTTGAATGTTAGGACTACTCAGAGCAGTGAATGTGTCAAACTGCTGCGATACGCTGCTCATTTCTTCATGAGCAGGTGCGAGCCAAGTCCCTGTGTTGAATATAGTAGTGGGACCTTTAGTCTTATTGTTCCACAAAACTCTTAAAACAGATTTATCTCTTTCCTCACACAGTCAGTGAACCTTGCTGCCCCACACACATAGGAAGTAGTTAAATGTACAGAAGACATTACTGGAGAAAAATGTGAATGACGGGAACATTTTCAGAAGATAATGGTTTGTGGAAAAAGAAACAACTCAAGAAGGGTTTCTGATACTTAACGTAAGTAGTTCTGCACTCAAAAGCTAGTAAAAACACAGTTACAATTGCTGATTATGTATGAATTGAACAGTTGATTCAACATTTGAAGAGGAAGGGGATGGAAAAGATTATTGGACTAAAATTTCGCACAGCCACAAGAATCACTACATCAAACATTTGATAGAATAGAACCTTCCGGAGTGACAAATAAAAATTTCCAGGGGCAAGTGTGTTAAGAAAAGTAATTTGATGAGTGATTATAACAACCTCATAAGTAGCCACACTCTACTTTCTGATGTACAACTATGCTTTGCACTGTGGTAGATCGCTGGCACACTCAAGGTGACCTCAATAGCCCGAGTGCTGGTGCTCTGCCGCACTGGGATGTTAGCCCCAATTTCTGTGCTCAAACCTCAGGAGTGGAATGCGAACCGAGGCAGCTACCAAGTGAGCCACAGCTCAGAATCCAATCAAGCAGGTGAAGCTGAGTTGTGCAAACAAGAGGAAAGCACGAATGGAGAATTTGCTCTGCTGAGAAAGTGAAAGGTATGAAAGGGGATAAAAAAAGTATGGTTTTTAAAATAAAAAGTACTGCTAAAGGAACCCAAATGTGGGTAGGGGAGGGAAGCAGGGGGCTGGGAAGGTCCATCTGAAATATTGTGCCATTTGATGTTAATCAATTGGAAGAGGGGAAGCCCTGAGGACAATATGTATCAAACAGAAATATTCTGACTGAACTGAGATTCTTGAAGAATGAAGCTAAGGTCGGTATAAAAAACATAGAATGAGACATTGTGCTGTAATCAAATACTTTTCTCATCAAAAATCACAAGAAGAGTCTGTCCCCAAGTCTGAGAGACCGACAGCTTAAATACCCCCATTCAAATCCAGCTGCACTGTGGAAAGGATACAAAAGGAACAAATTAATCGACCGTTCTTTTTGACACGGCCATTGTTTTCCTTTCAGGTGAGGAGCAATGAGGGAAGATGCTCTTTCAGATCAGATAATCAGCAATTTTTGCTGACCCCCTTCGAGCTGCCCATGCACACGTTTCACCTGCCTTTGTGTGTTCTAGTGATCAGAGCCACGTCAACAGCTATTGTTCTCCAACTCCCGACTCCATTCATCACCAGCTGAAACTGACAGGCCTTCAAGGAAATAGGGGCTACAGCCTACTGTAACCTGCCAGCCAAACTTGAACTCATGTAAGCCTGTCAGTGCCAAATCATAAATCTTTCTAGGGTCAACTACTTGTCTTCAACTGACACCCGCATACCATCATTTATCACGTCAAGTTGGTCACTTTACTACTGTGTCTCCTGCAATGGCTGGCTGCAGATGCAAGGTGCAACTTTCAGTTGAGAAAACAAGGGGTGTTTTCACCATCTGCTACTGCGCACCCCCCAAGTTCATTCTTGAAGACTAAAGAAACAGAAACTTTTAACAATTAAAGAAAATAAGTTTTGTGCTTGCAATCAAGGTCTGTCGCTATTATGCTTGTTCAGTACTTGAGTAACTCTAAAAGAAAATTTAAAATCTTATTTTATAAGAATGAATAGCAGGAGCAGGCAATTCAGCCCCTCGAGCCTGATCCTCTCTCACCACACGCCCAGTAGAAAAGAAAGAACCCTTCACATCAGTTCTTTCAGCACTGTTGTGGCTCTAACTTATAGTTATTGCTCATTTAGATGAGCAATACCCCCCACCTAGCTACACTGCTGATAAAAGTAAAATTCAACAGCAAGAGCAAGGTGAGATCGGCCAGTTTGTGGGGGAAAAGAGATCAGCAAAGAGTTCAGCAAGAATGGGGGGAACATGGAAGGCAAATAAATGGTAGGGCGCCATGAATCTAATACTCAGCAGCTGCCAAATGGTCAATCCCCCAGGAGGGCAATTGTCGGCAGCTGGAGATCACAGCCAGAGATTACCGGAGTGACTGAGGACCAAAAAGGGGGAAAAGCCAAAGGCTGTGGTCCGGCTGGGAAGATTGGGTGGCGGGCTCCGGTTCCCTGCAGAATTGTGGGCTTAGCCTCGCTTAGGGAGCGGGTGGGGTTCTACCAGAAGACAGCCAAACCGAGGTTGGGAGTTCCCCGATTGTCCCCAAGGATTTCCAGATGGTGGGAAACCGGTGTAGCATACAGGAAGTCTAAATTAGCTTCTCAATTGGAGTGCGGGAGATCAATTTAAATATGAATGAGGCGTCGTTAACCCCACAACCAAAGTGGATCAATATTCCCTCCCAACATCTACCACCCTTAGAAAGGTGGCAAGCACGTGCACAATGTCTTGGAGACATGGGCCCTTGTATTTAACTCAATGACCCTCCCTCCATCATAAGGTCAGAAGTGGAGATCTTCGTCGATGATTGCACAATGTTCTATATTTTGGTGACCCCTCAGATACTGAAGCAGTCCATGTTCAAATGCAACAAGATCTGGACAATATCCAGGCTTGGGCTCACAAGTGGCAAGTAACATTCGCGTCACACAAATACCAGGCTATGATCATCTCCAATAAGAGACAATCTAACCATCACCCCTTAACATCAATGGTGTTACCATCACTGAATCCCCCACTATCAACATCCTGGGGGTTACCATTGACCAGAAACTCAACAGGGCTCACCACATAAACACAGCAGCCACAACAGCAGGTCAGAGGCTAGGAAATACTGTGGTGAGTAACTCACTTCCTGACTCCCCAAAGCTTGTCCATCTACAAGGCACAAATCAGGAGTGTGATGGAATACTCCCCACTTGCCTGGATGAGTGCAGCCCCAACAACACTCAAGAAGCTTGACACCATCCAGAACAAAGCAGCCCACTCAACTGGTACCACATCTACAAGCATCCACTCCCTCCACAGACAGGGCAGCAGATATATGGGCACACCACCAGTTTCAACTTCCTCTCCAAGCCTCTCATCATCTTGACTTGGAAATATATCATTGTTCCTTCACTGTCACTCAGTAAAAACCCTGGAATTCCCTCGCTAAGGGCATTGTGGGTCAACCCACAGCAGGAGGACTGCAGCGGTTCAAGAAGGCAGCTCACCACCACCTTCTCAAGGGGCAACTAGGGATGGGCAATAAATGCTGGCCCAGTCAGCGTCGCCCACATCCCACAAAGTGAATAAAAACTCTTTAACCATCCTGCCTTCAGAGCATCTCCCAACAGATGAGAGGGTTAATATATCTAAATTCTTTGCTCACATCACTGATTCCCATCAAGGGTGCCACAGCCTTGCCATTGTGCTTCATAGCTTTGTGATAAAAGATTTTGAATTTATGTAGAAAAACATGCCACATGCTTAAGAAGAGCAAATGTCCCACTTTTCCTATACTGTGGCTCCAATCCTGCATGAACTTCAGCTCATCCAAAACTCTGCTGCTCATATACTAACAGGCACCAAGTCTCATCCATGCCTTACCCAAGTCCTTACTTTAAGTTCAAAATTCTCACTTCGCTTTCAAATTCGTCTATGGGCCATGCCCCTCCCGACTTTGCAGCACCTCGACCCTCGGATATATTTGCACTTCTCTCTCTCCCCGAGTTTAATTGTTCTACCATTGTTCGCCTTGCCTCAACTCTTAAGCCCTGAAATTCACGCCACCTCCTGCCTCTATCTTCTTTAAGATGCTCCTTAAACCCTCCTCCTCTAACTAAACTTTTGCTCACTTATCTTAAGACCTCATTCTGTGGCTTGGTGCCAATTCTTACTCCCGTTAAGCACCTTGGGACTTTTGACTGCATTAAAAGTTCTCTTAACAGTGCAAGTTGTTGTAGTGCTATTTAGTTGGTGACAATGGCAGAACAATGTGATGACTATCAGTGTTCCACTTTACATAGCCCCACCTGATCACCTCGAGGAATGAAGGAAAGTAGCACAGCAAGGTTTCAGCTCAGAATTTGTTCCCGCTATCTGATCTATCACAAAACCTGCTGATTTGAAATGACTAAAGCAGAATGTCTCAAGGGGTTTAGCCTGAGTGGGCCTCAACAATCTGTTGACCCACCAAATTACACCACAATATTATTTGTTATATTTGATTCCACAACTTTGTTAACAAATTGGTAAAAATAACCACAAAGTCTTCACTCTGCATCAATGCAGATTCTCCCCCTGGGAGTTGTCATAAAAATAAAATTCATCACCATATTTCTTTTGAATGATTAAATTTTGAACGGTAGCACACCTTGAGATGGTGCCTTTTTTTTAAAAAAAAATGAAAGAACTGAAAATCTGAAAACCCTTTCCTCATTAATACACCCAAAATAAACTCAGACAACATTCCCCCCAATCCCAAACTATTTTACCCCACTGTTGACTTTTGGAAGACATTATATGATTGTTTCAACAGAAATGCAGAGAGCAATTCTGTAATTTTC